ATTCCCTGGCAGGGCAGAAGGACCAGTGGGGCCAGCATCCTTGCCCACAGCCCACCCTGTGGGCACTTGCCTGGGAGCAGGCCAGAAGGAACTCCCTGCCTGCACCTCCTGGGGGGATCCTGCCCTGCCCTGCCTGCCCAACCTCCGCATCAGCGTTTGGCTCCATTTCCTCTCTGAGCTGTGCTGGCTAATAAACCGTGAGAGCCGGAAGAATTTGAAGGCAGCAGGGTGCTCGGTGCGGTCACAGCCACGCTGGGCAGTTCAGCCAGTGGGGAAGAGCCTAGCTCTGAATGCAGATAAGCCTCCTGCCCCTTGGCTGAGCAGGCTATGGTAATAACCATGACAATAGTAATAAAAGCCAGGCCACCAGCAGGTACCGACAGATCCCCCATGGTGCACAGGGGCCGCATTGTGTGTGCAAATGTGTCCTGCGGTGGGAACATTCCAGCCTGGATGAGACAATCCCCACGACTGACAGCTGGGGAGTGTGACCGGCTGTCACATAGGGAAGGGCCGCAGTAGGGAATGCCGCTCTCCTTTATTTCCCCAGTGAGGGTTGCTGAGGAGCAGCTACACTAGCAGGCCTGTTCGCTCCCCCTGGGCCCGGAAGAGCCCTGGGAGGCGGGGAAGGCTCCATCCCTGACTCCCACTGCGGTCATGGGTCAGGCAGGGCCAAGCACAGCCCAGCTGCTGTCTCCTGCTGCTGGCATTCTGTACATAATGGGATCTCAGTGCTCGTGCCCAACTTCCTGTTGAGAGCTCAAAAACAAGTTCATAAACAGGTCCTGCTAATTTCTCCTGCAAGAGAAATCCTGGCGCCCACAGGAATGCTGCCACCAGTACCTGTCCTGACGCTCCCCAAGCACCCTTACCCACATACCTGGCACGTGCTGGGGCAGAGTTGGGCAGTGAGAACATTAATGACGTGGATCAGCTATGCTCAACAGCACTCAAGGCAGCGCCCACTAGCATTTTGGTTTATTTTGTGTTTGCACTGCAGGAGGATTTAGAGACCCTCCTCCTTACCTCCACACTGCGATCCCTTTGGCAAGATGCCACACAGAGAGCTGGTCTGTTGCCCTGAATCTGGGAGCTAGCACAGCCTCTGCCTTGAGCCCAGCTTCCCTATGGCTGGAGCCTGATGGGTTCTCCTCAGTGTGGTGAACCATGGCAGTTTGCCATGGATTTGGCACAGCTGGGCTGAGGGGCAGAGCTGTGCCTGGGACAGACAGGACAGGGCTGGCTCCAGCTGCTGAAGGGAGCCAGCTCCATAATTAGTGCCCCAGTCACCCCCTCCTTGTCCCTGGCTCCATTCTTTTTTGCAAATAGCACAGGGGAAGCAGGAGGTTTTTGCCTTACCCCAGCAGCACTGGGCTGCAGCTGCCGGTCAGCCTCATGAGGAAACCTTCACCAATACGGTGCATATGCCACTGCAGCTGTTAGCCCGGGCACTGCACAGCACACCAAGCCTCTGCACCAGAGCAGGCGCCCCATGCTTAGGTCAGACATACCAAGGCAAAGGCCCTTTCAGGCAGACAGGATTGCTGCCCTGGGCACCACAGGAAGGCACTGAGCAGCTGGAAGAGGACCAGAGCCTCTTCCAGAAAGTGCATGGTGACTGGCCCTGTGGCATGTTGCGTACCTGCACTATGCTGCAGGCAGAACCCAGGCTCCCTGGGCAGGCACCTGCAGATGATGGGGTTTAGCTGAAGGATGCCCCAGAAATGGGGTGCAGAGGAGCCCTGGAAGGGCTCTCAGGAAGGTACGACATTTTTCTCCAGGACATCTCACCAGGCCCACTGCCTCTCTCCCATTTGGGTCCTATGCTGCTCTGTGTTGCTGACAGCCAGCCCCCGTGCTGTCCTCGCCCCCACTCCTGCCAGACAGGGTGGGGATGCTGCTTGCTCTGTTCCCTCCTCCCCAGCCCAGAGGACTGGAGGGTTTGGGCCTGCTCAGGCAGAGAAGAGGATGTTTGTTTGGTTTCCTTGGTTACTGCACTGCCTGCTCCAGTAATCACATTTTCCTTGTGCTGGCTGGGCCAAGAGCAGCAGAGAGGAAATCTGGAATGGCTGAGGTCAAACAACCAGCCTGGGAACAATCCGGGACCACCAGCCACAGCCCCTCTATGCCATTTGGGTCCTTGCCATTGCGGGTACCCAACCTGAAAGGGAGGTACCAGGCCCAGGGATGAAGCAACAAGCTCCTTCAGCAACAGCCTGAAGGCTCCCATTACTCCCTCCCGTGCAAGTCAGGGACACAGGCACCAGCATTGAACTGGGAGAGGAATTACAGGAATGAAAATGTTTGTGCAGGCGGAAGCCAAGCTGGCTGTGCAAGCTGGGGATGTGAACCCCCAAGCCTGCGAGCGTGGGTGCGACTGTATTTATTATAGCGATGGTGATGGCAAGGGTGCGCGTGTGCAGGGGTGACAGGGTTGCTGATGCCTTTTATTCCTTATGCATCCCTCAGCCCAGAAAGCCTGGAGCACTAATGCCAGTTCTTGTTCCTGGGAGTTTCCCCTGCTTGTTAGTGTTCACAGGCAACCCTCTGTTTTGTAGCAAGGAAACTGAAACTTGAACATGTGCAAACCATGGCTGATCTCATAGCACCACCCTTTTACCCCTTGATAATTCACTTCAGCAGCCATGAACATAGCATATAAGCTCCCAACTCCTGGCTGCCCTGCATCTCAGAAGCGAGATCTGAGGCTCCAACACAGCAAGTGCTGGTGACGCTGCCATTCCGGCGTGTAACATCTATTCACAATGACTAAATCAATGTGCACTGGTAAAGCACGGCCGTACTACGAGCTGGGACAGGCAGAAGGAGTCAAACAGCCCTGCCTGGTCTGACCCTCCTCACCTTTCTCCCCAGCTGACATGGAGCAGTCACAGCGGAGCCTGGATACAGAGCAGCAGCTGAAAGTACGGGACCGGCAGAAGTTCTTTGAGGAGGTTTTCCAGCATGACGTGGATTTCTTCTTTCCTATGTCTCACCTGCAGATAGAGCATCGGAGACGTAAGTGCTGCAGGCACCGGCACAGGGCTGGAGGTGTTTTAGGGAATAACGACATGGGCATTAGATCAGTGGGACATCCCCAGTCTAAAGGCGGCTGGGGACACACATATCCTGCACTGAGACAGGACCACACAGGCTGCGTGTGGGTGTGCTGTGGATTATTCACACCACTTAACTGAAGTCACTGCACATGGGTACCCAGGCTGGCACCCTGCATAGTCACTGGCTTCAGACAGGCTCCTCCAGACAGCAGTTTGGAGCAGGAACAAGGACTGCAGTGAGGCAGCAGGGGCTTCCAGAGGCACGTTTTAAGGAAACATGATTTTCCTGGGGGACTCTTACCAGCAAGTGGAATTCAGTTCCCCACAGCAAGGCTGGCCCCCTCCTCAGAGTCCTGCCTGCGCAGGGCTCATTTACGCCCTTTGCCTGGCACTAGCATTCACCTTTTCAGTGGCCTCTGTCTCTGCAGCCCCCTTAGGCAGTATTTCCTCCATGGAGGTGAATGTGGACATGCTGGAGCAGATGGACATGATGGACCTGTCAGACCAGGACACCGTGGATGTGTTTCTGGGCTGTGGGACAGAGGAGAGCAGCATTACTGGGCCCCTGCCAGGTACGTGCAGTCCAAGCCTTTTGTGGGCCAGGCTGGGAGCCCTTCCTGGCCCCAGTGCCCACACTGCCTTGTTCCTCAGCCCTGGCCACCCTGCCGGCAGATCCACACACACCCATACAAAGACAGACACTTGGTGCTGGGGTGTGTGAGGTTGGAGGGACCACGCCAGTATCCACCTCCACAGCCCAGAGGTACAGGCCCTTTATATACACTGCAGAAGACAGGAGAGCCCAGGCACTTTCCAGAGTCTGTGGGGCAAATTCTCTTATCCTGAAGCCCCTCTGGAGCAGCCAGAGTCTTGTCACAATTTCCCAGGTCCCCACCGCACTGCAGAGCTGACTGCACTGAGTGGGAAGGCTGCAGGACCCCTCCACCTCCCAGCCAGACCCCAGGGAGCTGGGCTTGGGTCCTGCAGGGGCACTGCCAGCACCTTCTTCCCCACACACATGTGCTGCGGTGGTTCACCGAGGCCAAGCTGAACATCTTGCCTGCTTCAGCCAATGGCCTCATGCAGCATGGCTCTGAGCCGTGTTTCACACAAGAGAAGAGGTTCCACTGCCAAAAATGGGGAAGGAATGAGCGGTGTTGCCCAGAGCCAAGCTGGGGGTATGAGGTGGGGAACAGCCATGGCAGCCGCATGGGGAGCAGCCAGGAAAGCATAGCCTGCTGAGGAGTAAGACACGTATGTTGGAGGGGCTATCCATGAAGCTTAGGGAGCAATAAACCTGCAGAAGCCTTTTTCTTTCTCTTACTGCTCTCTCCTCCAGGGGCAGATGCTGGCCAGTGCACAGAGGAAATCACCCTGCAAGTGCCCAACACAGCTGAGAGCAAATCACGCATTTCCTCCACGTCCTCTGTCTCCACGGATCTGAACAGCCTGGACACCAGCGAGGAGGGGGCCGAGACCCCTGTGGTGCAGTCGGATGAGGAGGACCTGCAGGAGGACAGTCCCAAAGAGCAGGAGGCAAGAAGCTAGCAGCCAGCTTTGCCCCACTCCCAGCCTCCTCTATATGGACCTGCCAGCCCAGAGGAAGGAAAGCTGCTGGTACTCGGTAAACCCCATCCTGGACTGCTGCCTTGCAGGAGGGGAGAGAAGATTTTTCCCTCCTGTCCCTCTGCAGGTTCTCCTGGCACCCAGGGGAGAAGGAAAGGGGTATTGTAGGCTCCCAAAATTAACTCTTCAGGCTTTGCCGCTAACACTCCCTGCTTCTCTCCCCTGAAATGCTCAACATCCCACAGCCCCACCGTTCCCAGAAAGCCATCCCTTGGGATCCCAGCTCCCCCCATCCTACTGACAAGGGTCCTCTCCAGACAAGCGTTTAACGGTGTCATACAAAGAAATAACACTCCAATCTAAACCGGCAGTGGGTGTGTGTGTTATTGGGAGAAAACAGCACTGGGGATCAGGGCTCAGTGGGGATTTCAGGAGGGAGAGTGGTGTAAAGCCAGTATGCTAAGGGTGCCACACAGGAGCAAATGAAGCCTCCTGTTGCACAGCCCAGCTCCAGCACAGGGGCAGTTCCTGTGCTCAGGGTGGGAGCAGACAGCATGGACCTCGGCAGAAAAGGGTAGCTCTTAGTGGAGCAGGCCACCATACTGAACAGCTCAGGTGCTGCCTCCAGGAGGGAGAGAGACAGCAGCTGCAGTGTGGACACAGTTAATCACAGCGGACCTAAGCAGTGCTGCTGGTGACCTGTAACTACCCACCATAGGTACACTGGGGGATTTCCCATGCAAATGGGCTGAGTGGAGAACCTCAGCACATACAGCACCAGCAGCCACTGCTCCCCCAGCACAGCGTGATGGCAGCAACCCTGGCGGAAGGCTGTTTTAGAAGCGCAAAGGAAGAGCCATCCAAATGAAGCCACTCTGCAGCCCACTACACTTGCTGCCTGCAGAACAGGTCAAGAGGAGTCAAGCACAAAGCTGGCCAGAGCTCTGCTGCCTCTATCAGTGTCTGCGGGCCAGGAAAGCGCTGTCCCTGCTCACGCTGCATCAGCACAACCACAGTCACTCCCACAAGGAAAGGAGCCTGGGAGATAAGCAACAGGAGCCAGGGAATGCTCTGCATCCCAGCTGCTTCCCAGGGGGTATTCAGACTTTGCTGCATTCCCTCCTGCGTCAGCCAGCCCTTCATGAGACTGGCTGGATGGCCCCAGTTATCCAAGAATGACTGGCCAGAGTGGGAGGCACTGTGGGCCCCATCAGACTCCCACTCCCAGCACTGCCTTGGTGTGGTGGCAGTTTGCTTTCTCCTGGGGTGGCCCCAGGCTGGCCAGGGCTGGCAGCCGGTGGAAGCAGGATGCTTCCAGATGGCTCTGTGCCTGGAGATAGATGCTGCCTTCCGGAAAGGAGATGTCAAGGAGCGAGGGAGAGCAGACAACAGCAGAAAAGCTGAGAAGAGGAAGTCACCCCGGGGATGGGCACAGTCCTTGCAGAGTCCTCATGCACGGCAAAGCCTTGCAGCGAACCACCCAAGCTCAGGCCGCACAAGAGCTTCCCCAATTTTAAAAGCCGGGGGAGAGAGCCC